GATCCCCGGGATTGGGCCTAAACCAGGAGTCGTACATCCCTCTCACAATCTGGGACTGCTGGCTCCTAACTGCTCACCTGTCTGCCTGCCTGATCGCCCCTAACTGCACCCCCCCCCCAACGCCAGCCTGATCACCCCTAACTGCCTCTGCCTGCTGGCCTGATTGCCCCTAACTGCCCCCCCTGCCGGCCTGGTCACCCCCAACTGCCCCCCTGCTGGTCTGATCGCCCCATGCAGTCTACTGTTCAGTCTTTTGGTCGCCCCATGCAGCCTACTGGTAGTTACTGTTACTGTGACAGCATCCTAGACAATTTGCATGTTCCTCTATTATTAGTATAGATATAAATGGAATATTTATGGATGAAATTATGGTGCTTGTGACTTTCTTCTAAGTAAACTAGTTGGGTGTGAGGTCATGAATGAAACAAGACTAGCTACAAGTTAATAATTTTTAAATTTGGATGATGGGTATATGGCGTTCATTATACTATTCTATCTATATTTCTATATAATTTTCCATAATAAAAAATATAGAAAATAAAGCTAAAATTTGAGTTTGGATAACTGGGAGACGGGTTCAAACATGCTTTATTCTTACTGAACCATAAAGGATACCAAGGATGTTTAGGCAGGCTTTTAGGCTCTATGTCAGGGGTGGGCAAACCCTGGCACGCCAGTAACTTTTGCTGGCACGCGAAACCATCTCTATAATCTTCCATTTACAATTTTTTTCTTAATATCGACTTTTTTATTTTTCAGATAAATTCAGTGTAGGTGCATCTTAGATAAATAAATAATTTTACATAACAAGTTATCTTAAAGACCATAGACATGGATTGACAAGAGAGGGGAAGAGCAATTTCTATGCCTCTGCCTTAACTCTCCCTGCCTTCCTAGATCCGACCAGTGTTTTGGTTTCATCCACATACACTTGTGAATCTTTATTCTCAATGATGAATTTTGTTAAGTCTCATAATAGGAGCAGCCTGACGGATGAAAGTAGTAGCTCGTGCATATCTCTGAAGGTCACAAAATATAAATCTGATGTAAAAATCTCTGTCATCAGTGATGCAGCAGCAAAAGTCCCACTGATAATATCAAACGGAGTCATAAAGTTTTCTGTCAGACTATTAGTGTACATGTATACATTAAAAAATAAATGTATTTTTTATCATCATACACTGTGTTTTTGTCGCTCAAATGAATTTTATTATTTCTTCAAGGTTCTTCACATACGTACACCTTAAGAGATATCAAGTAGGAGTAACATGTTCTCAAAAAATTAGGGTTGGCACGCAGAAGAATTTTGAGTCAGAGATTTTGCTGGTTTTGGCACACACTCACAAAAAGGTTGCCCACCCCTGCTCTATGTTCTCACTAGATCTATACTTCTGTCAACTTCCTATGCTATAGAAAATCTTAATGAGAATGACAAAAGAAAACAAGAAATGGAAGCAAACACAAACCATCCCAGGAGTTTTTCCTCTGATTTTCCTACAGAGGTTTAATTTCAAAATAAGAAAAAAAGAACAGACATGCAATCAACCTCCCTAAGAAATTAGGGTGACAGGCAACAAAGAATAATGCTCTGCACTTTAACTTTTTAAAGATCTTTAATATACCAAATATATCACTATATCATTTGATCTTAACAATAACCTTGTCAAATGGACAGGGATAACTTCATTTCCCAGAGGAAAACAACACAAAGAAGTCACAAAACTAATGAGTAGCAAAAAACAAGTCTTCTCACCCCATTCTAGTGCTTTTTCCACTGAACAGTGCCCTTCCTATTCAATTTAATTATTCAAAATGGAGAAAAGGCTGCTCAGATCTCTTTTATTATCATTAAAGTCACAAATACACAAATACCTGGTAATGTGTGGGTTGGTATATATAGTTACTGACAATTTGTTATCCATGCTGTACAGCTTCCAAAAATTTACTTAGCAATTTGGACAGCTCAAAATGGTTTGAGAAACTCTTTTCTATCAAAAGCCACTGATACTCAAGGGAAAAAGAAAGACATCACGTTAAAAAGTTGTAAATATTTAGTGTTTGTGTACACATGTGCATGGTTTGGAAAGTAGGGTAGAGAAATAAACATACCAGCAAAGGATCTTCTTTTCCAACTTAATAAAATGATACTTATCCAATTATTTAAATATTTCCCAATTTCAATGAAAGCATAGACTTGAAATCCTCTATGTACTATGAAAGTATATCCAACTTGTTGATCGTAAATAATCAAGTTCGAGATAACCCAGATCCTGTACTTGCTCTCATCTGTGTATCCCTAGTTCACTGTTATTTACTATCCTATTGCAAGCAATTATTTTGACTCACCAAACATCAGAACAGAAATAAGCCAGGCAGGCGTGATGCCTGGGCCTGCTGAAAGATGCGACACCTAGGAACCCATCTTTGAATCCAAATCTCACAGTGAACACTCAAGAATGTGCTGGGATTACCTGCTCCCATTACTTGCTCCTGGTAAAAGCTGGCAGACATATATCCAAAGTTCCTGGATGAAGGGTGTCATCAGCCTTGTAAGGACCCAAGAATCCTTATTTCCTTCTGGAAGTATGTTGTGTTGACTGCCGAGTACCTTTTACTATTGCTGAAACTTCACCCTCTCAAACAGTCAGATGACTATGTCAGTATAGTAGCACTGTCCTGATATGACAACCATACTACAGGCAACTATCCCCAATATTAATTACTTCAAATCAGCCTTCTCTTAGAAAGTATTACCCACTTTGGTGCTTTCCCTAGAATATGTGAAACTCAAACCGAGGCAACCTCATTGCCAATAAAATATCTAGACCACATGGGCTTATTTGTGAAGAAGGTAGAAACAGCTTAACATGCCATCATTATGAATGTTCCATGAGCCTACAAGTTCACTTGGAACACATACATCATCTTTCTAGTACTTTCTCTGTAGGATTATTTAGAAATGGAATTTGGAATAAAATCAACATTTCCGGATCACCTATTGTGTGCCATGAATTGTGCTATCTACTTTATAAATCTTTCATTTAAGCCTAACAGCCCTTCGAGATATTTTAATTATTAATGTCTTTTCACAAATGAAGAAACCAAGACTCAGGGATGGTAAGTGATTTAACTCCAAAGTCTTAAAGTTACATGGCACAGCCAAAAAGTGAACCCAAATCAGTACAAAAATCTTTATGACCAGCTTCTTACCACTCTATTTGCTTTCCAAAGGAGTTGTACTAACCTGTAATGATACTAGAAACAAGGGTACTTCTACTTCAATTTATTTTTGTGAGAAAACTAATGGCTTTAATGCACAGCAGTGATTACCATGCCTGGAAACAAATTACTGTATTAAAACCAATGTCCATTTTCATATATCCTAATCTATCAATCAATATCAAATCTCTCTTTACTACTAGTTAGACCTTATGTAATCAGAGGAAGAGCAGAAAATGTTTTGTTCAACCTCTATAACATCTTCATATATTTGGAATATATAAGATGCTCTCCACATTTTAAAATCTATGAATAGTGATCTTTCTACAAATTTTCCTAGATAGATTTATGTTAGTCTATTCGGAAGTAATGAACCTTTGAATTTTATTATAAAACGAAGAATTCCAAAACAGGTAGGCTTCAATTTACTGACAGCACTGTAACAATGGATTAAAGACTAAAGTAGAAAACATTCTTTGTAAATTATATGTATTATATAGCCACATTAATATGAGGAAATGAGTAAATGGTAAAAGCTATCACTTTTAGAGTACTTACTATGTGCCAACTACTTTATAGTACATGTGGTTTCATTTTGTACTTTACAAAAACTTGCATGATTATTAACTCCACTTTACAAGCAAAGAAACTATGATAAGAAAAGTTCACATAACCTGCTCAAAGTAATATAGCTAGAAAGTGATAGAGCTAGAATTCAAAGCCAGGTCTGTCCAAATCCAAAACATATGCTCCTTATTGCCACCATTTACTGCCTCCTTGTTCTTATCTGGTAAACATATCCTTGTCCACAACTCTAAAACCAGTATAGAAACACATGCTTATTTAAACCTATTATTAATTACATCCATTAATTTGTCATAGTTTCTTTGTTGCCTGTCACCCTAAAATCAGCCCTAGCTGGTTTGGCTCAGTGGATAGAGTGTCGGCCTGTGGACTGAAGGGTCCCAGTTCGATTCCAGTCAAGGGCACATGCCCTGGTTGTGAGCTTGATCCCCAGTAGGGGGCTTGCAGGAGACAGCCAATCAATGATTTTCTCTCATCATTGATGTTTCTCTCTCTCCCCCCCTCTCCCTTCCTCTCTGAAATCAATAAAAAAAAATATTAAAATAAATTAATAAATAAAGTAAAATCATTAAAAGTGCCTAAAAAATTACCATTAGAAAAATTTGAGTAAAATTTCATAAAATCTTGAGTGGTCAAGAACAGATAATTCAGGTAACAAAAAATTTTTGTTGCTTCTGAGTTGTTATTAAAAAATACACAAAACTGATGTAAACATGGTAAGCCAAAAAATCATTTTAAGCATTTAAAAAAAACTGAAATACTGTAAAGCACTAGCCTAAAGACTGAACAAAAGAACTCTTTTTGCAAAATCACATTACCATCAATACTTAAGGAATGAATTATGGATATTATTATATTCTGTCTTTATCTAAAGTTTTATTATCAGCCAAACAACAGAAAAAATGTAATCATAACTTGGGCAATTTTAAACTCCTAAATGGCTATTATATTCCATGTTTCAGTGTTTCAAATTTCTTTATAAAGTATGTCTAAAAAATAAGTAACATTCCCCAAAAATCAATTCTTCAAATATTAGAGTTTGAAGAACCTAAATCTAGAACTTTTTAATGTACAAGATGTAGTTTAAAATAACATATTCTTTCCCTTTTGTTTATCAGACACATTCATTAGATAAGTTAACAGGGCAAAATAAGAATCATTTTCTAAGATATGTCAAAGAATAGATTAAGTCTTACCTCCATTGCTAAAGCTGCTGTCTGTTGGTCATAATGATTCAGAAGATTAGGCATGAAGGTAGTATTGTAAGGCAAATCTTGGCACATCCTCAAGGTAATAGGTTCACAAGAAAACAAACTGTGCCCACCTATATGCCCCACAAACATAGTCAAGGGCCAAAGATAGAAGACGATCCAACTCATAGCCATCCTTCTTGGATCTGAATGAGATTTGGACGATCAGGCCTATGATATGTATTTTAGATCTTTGTACACCTGCAGGTCTCAGCTTGAAGAAGTACTCTTCTATATTTTACTATTAAGTTCTTCAAACAGTTAAATACTCTTTGCACTGTCAGAGGTTTGTTAGCTTGATCTCACAAAAGGCATTTGTTTTTGGTTTCACAATACAGGAAAATGACATCATCTTGTCTCTTCTTTTCATTTTATTACATAGGGCACATTTGGCCAACATATCAAGTTGATCAACCACATTCCCAAACAACAGATTCCATCTTAGAAGAGCTATTTCTTCCTTTGATTGAAATACCTAAAAAGTATTTTTTTTTAAATGGGAGAAATTAGTCATTTCCTCTAAAAGCCTTTGATAAGTTTAATGTTGTAGGATTGAAAATCACTATACAGAAACAGTTGTATTTTTTATACTATAACAATAAACTATCAGAAAAAGAAATAAGCAACATTTGATGAGAGATATCATACTAACCTAATAGATAAAATACATAGGTATTTCATATATAGTTTTTCTACCTTATCATTTACGCTATAGATACACTAAAACAATCTTTAAATAATACTTAAAATATAAAATATTAAATGTCAACTGTAATTGGAAAAAAGTATTTAAAGGTAAAATTTCTTCCCTTTTAATTGTTTATATAACATATGGTCTAATTTGTCTATATTGATAGCAATTTTCATTTACCACAAGCTGTAACTGACTCATTTTGAACAAATTTCATGCTATTGTCCTAAATTTTATTTAAATAGCTGTCATACTTATAATCTAAGCTACTGAATTTAAAATTTATTGTATGTGTTTTAATCATTAATAGTGTATTTTTACATTAATTGATTTGGCAGAAGGTATCCAAAGAGATGAAATATAGCCCTAGCCGATTTGGCTCAGTGGATAGACTGTCAGCCTGCGGACCAAAGGATCCTGGGTTCCATTTCTTATCAAAGGCACGTACCTTTTGGTTGCAGGCTCCTCCTTGGCCCCGGGCCTTGATCGGGGTATGCGTAGGAGCCAACCAATCGATGTGTTTCTCTCACATTGATGTTTGTCTCAGTCTTTCCCTCTCTCTGAAAAATCAATGGAAAATATCCTTGGGTGAGGATTAACAACAACAACAACAAAAAAACACAAACAAAAAAATAAAGAGATGAAATATAAATAAAACAAAAATATATGGATTCAGCCCTGGCCAGGTGGCTCAGTTGGTAGAAGCATCCTCCTGTACAACAAAAGGCTGCAGGTTTGATTCTCACATACCTAGGTTTCGGGTTCAATTCCAAGTCGGGGTGTGTATGGGAGGCAACCAATCTATGTTTCTCTCTCACATCGATGTTTCTCTCTCCCTTCCTCCCTAAGAATCAATAAAAAAAAATCTTTGGGTTAGGACTAAAAGAAAAGATAATGGATTCAAGCTTCTTAGTAGTTGTGTGAATGGGAAACATAGCACAACTTCTCTGAACTCAGAATATTTTTTCCTGAAAATACCACCTCTCTAATAAAGATTATATAGATAACCCATGGACACAGACAATAGGGTGGTGAAGGCCTTCGGGGGGTGGGGGGGGAGGCCAAGGGGAGGAGGGTTAGAAGAGGCCAATGGGGGGGGGGGGGGGGATACACTTTCAACAATAAAGATTTTTTTAAAAAGAGATAAGGTATGTAAAAGTATTCTATAAATGATAAAGCAGCGTCAAAGATTAGTTTTTTTTAACCCATTGTACACCATAAGCGTCTACAGATGCAAGAGGTGGACTTTCCCACACTCCACTCGCGTCTATAAAAAAAAAATGTTTTCCCTAAGTGGCAGCCCTGACCAACTTTAAAATCATTTCTCATGAGAATTTTCAGCTGAAAATATTCAAGAACACCCGAATTATAATATATTTATTTTTATAATACTCATTGCAAATTGATTTTTTAAATTAAATTCAAAATATTGTGGCGTGTGGGGATGGTTTCCGTTATGGACATGTGGCAGTTAACTGAATTACAATATAGGCTACCTTTTCAACCAATATTGAATTGGCAAATAGAAGGCTCTAAAAGTAATATCAGGAAATTTTCCCAACATTGCATATCTTTTCAGATAGCACAAAAATTTAGTGCCACACACAGATGCAGAAATATTTGATCACGAAATCTTTTATCACACAGCCAAGCTGCAGAGAATAGAAATTATCCTTAGAAAGTCAAAGCAGGAATAGGAATAATTCCCAGTTAATTTTCACTAAGTTTTAGAATCTTTGACTTGCCTCTACTTTTCTATTGGCAAAAATACTTATTTCATTTGGGGATGAGAAGGTGTAGGTGGATTGGAAGGCAGGTTTGGTAGGAAAAAAGCATATTCTAAGTTATAATACTTTCATTTGGTTTAGTGACGATTTTAAATTTGTTTTCATTGCATTTTGTTTCATATGCATGGGACATTTCTGTGTTTGTTGTAGAAAGCCTAGTTTGGGAAAACATGAAAAGATCAGGTTCAGAAATTCTCAGAGACCAAAGTTAATTAAACAACTTAAATACTAGGGCTCATGACAGCTTAAGACCTTGAGACCTAGAACTGGTTTGGTTTAAGCAGGGCATGAAACTGTCCTTTGTGCACTATCAGTTCTTGGCTCCTCTGCATCCCAACCTTTAGTTACTAGGCAGAAAAAACTACCTGTATTTAGAAAAAGTAAAGGAATGGCCAAATCTTTGCACTTTCTCCCTCTAGTATATGATCATGAGTAGTGGAAGAAAAAGGGAAAGTGTGTGGCCTCTTTAGAGTTAGTAGCACCAAAGTTATGAGCACTCCCTGCCCCAAACGCCTAATCTCTCTATATCAAAATCTCTAAATCAGAAATCTTTGTAAAAGCTTCTTGGCCTGCCATATTTTTTTTTTTCCTCCTTCAAGCTGGCCCCAGAAATGTGAAGTCTGGCTATAGGAAACTGATATTAAACAGCCATTTATATTTAAGCTTAATGACCATGCAACACAGTAATAATTATGCATATCATTAAATATGTGTCAAATAACTGCTGAAAGCTTTATTTGGTTACAGCATTAAAACATCCATATAAGATCAGTCTTTGTAGTTTGTTGCTTATATAGCATGTTCATCTGCTTCAACTAAAAAAAATTTAAAAGGAACATTGCTCCATATTAAATATGCATATAATAATCTGAATTTCAAATATTTCACTGGATAAATCTATTTTTTCAAGAAGTGATGGGTTTCAAATTTATGGCTCAAAGACTACCATATAAAACTTGAGGAAAAGCCTGGCTAGTGTGGCTTAATGGTTGAGCATCGACCCATGAACGAAGAGATCCCTGGCTTGATTCCCGGTCAAGGCACATGCCTGGGTTACAGGCTTGATCCCCAGTAGGGGGCATGCAGGAGGCAGATGATTGATGTTTTTCTCTCTATCTCTCTCTAAAAATTAATAAAAACGTACTTAAAAAAAAAACTTGAGGAAGAAACTGGGCAATATCTCATTGGATCTTTAAAACTAGATGAAACATTCCCTTAACACTTTTTCCTACTCTATTTTACCTGATTTCTTATTAATTATTCCTTTTGCCTCATTTGGCAGCAAAGCTTCCCACCATCTTATAAGCTTCCTTTATATCCTACGACATCCACATTACCACATATCAAAACTTTTGTAAAATCTATTATGTTAGGGTGGGCTAGGAAAATAATCTTATATAATAAAAGGCTAATATGCAAATCGACCGAACAGGGGAACGACGGGGGTGTGGGGTGGCGAGCAGGCAGTGCCAGGCCAGCCAAGGCAGGTGCCAGCGGGCAGAGGGAGGGGACAGCGACAGGCAGTGCCGGAGCTGCCCCGTGGTGGTCAGTGTGCTCCCATAGGGGGAGCACTGTTCAGTCACAAGCCAAGCTTAAGGCTGGTGCACAGTGGCAGTGGTGGGAGCCTATCCTGCCTCCACAGCAGCCCTAAGGATGTCCGACTGTGGCTTAGGCCTGCTCCCTGCAGGGAGAGGGCCTAAGCCACAGTCAGACATCCCCCGAGGGCTCCCAGACTGCAAGAGGGCGCAGGCGAGCTGAGGGACGCCGCCCCCCCCCGGCCCGAGTGCACAAAATTTTCGTGCACTGCGCCTCTAGTCTTAATATAACAAGTTCGTAGTTTATGATTATTAAAATAAATAAAAAGTTGAATGCAGTGAGACAAAAAAAATAATAATAGTAAAAATATTTAAAAATTGCCTGGCCAGTGTTGCTCAGTGGTTGAGCGTCAACCCATGAACCAAGAGTTGATTCCCAGTCAGGGCACATGCCTGGGTTGCGGGCTCGATCTCCAGTAAAGGGTATGTAGGAGGCAGCTGATCGATGATCCTCTCTCATCAATATTTCTATCTCTCTATCTCTCTCCCTTCCTCTGTCTCTAAAAAAATCAATATAAACATGTTTTTAAAAAATTTACATGCCCCTCCAAGTCAGAGATTCTCTAATTTTAATGTGTAGCAGATTCATGGATTGCCCCCACAGGTCTAAGAAATCTGAATTTCTGTAGAATGACATACATGTGTGGGTGGCAAAAGTCATTTTTTACAAAGGTAGGGTCATCCATAGAAAAGCCCTAAGTTGAAGTTCTATACATGCAGGCCACAGAGAAGATTCTGGACCCAAAGAGATACTATCAAAATACAGCAACCCATTAAATAAAGGTTAACAGTTGTTTTGGCATTCTTGATATTTTTTACTAAAAGGAATCTGCAGGCCTTGCGGTGTGACTCAGTGGTTGAGCATCAACCTATGAACCAGTAGGTAATGGTTCGCTCCCAGTCAAGGCACATGCCCAAGTTGAGGGCTCAATCCCCCAATAGGGGGGCATGCATAAAGCAGCCGAACTATGATTCTCTCTCATCATTGAATTTTCTCTCTCTTTCCCTCTCCCTCTCCCATTCTCTCTCTGAAATCAATAAAAACATATTTCTAAGAAAGGAATCTGCAGAATTTCAGCTTAATAAAGGGACCTGCTGGGTTAACATAACTGAAGTGAACAGCTTCAGGGGCCAGAGAACAGCAAAAAGTGAGTGATATGGCAAGAATTTATTCATGCCATACCTATGGGAAACAAGCACATTCACTTTTCCATAGAGCAATACAAGATATTTAAAAAACTAATTTCTGATTAAGTTACTTGATTATTTTTCCATCAGAAAACAAAACCAACTAGAAACATTTAAACCTACATTTAATTTTTATGAATGTATAACACTGAGAATCTGATATTCCCAATTACTAGTTTCCTTTTGATGATAAAAAGTAAAAACCCTTAAAATAAGTTGAGTATCTGTCCTAAAGGACAGCCATAAAGGGGAAGGTGATACAATCTTAGAAAGCTGTCTTCCCAAGCTGGCTGCAAAGCGGACCAAAAGAACACAAGGTGGCAACTGTGAAGAGGAAAGCAGGCTGAATCCCCAGAAGAAACAATGACAAAAGTGGGCCCTGAGGGCTTGTCAAGAAGGTCCTGAAACAAAAGATTATGTTCGGCAATTCGATTCCAATTTACACTCTCAGTACAGAAAGTGATCCCTTTCATCATTCTCAGTTTAGATTTAATTTTCTTGACACCCCTTAAATGTAGACAACATTTTGCATTTCCAATTCAGAAAGGCCATTAAAAGGTTGCCTCACACACAGTGGCTCTACAGTAGAAACAGGAGGAATATTCTTTGTCTTCTTTCAGAGGAGTTTTCTAAGAATGCATTGCAAGAATTAACAATGACTACCTCTGAGTTTCTTCTCTCAAGGACATTGTCTTGTTAAAGAGACAAAATATACTCTTAGAGCATACTCACTGTTCTAAGTGCTACAGTCCTTTTCCTAAAACCCATGTGACCCATGTGGTCTTTGGCCTTTTGTTTTCCACATCCTATTCTTTAAAAAATAAATTCATTCTCAAAATTTTCCTCCTTGTTGCTAAAAGTTTATATAACTTCATATTTAACTCATAGAGCTTACATCCCTATTAATCTTAGGATATCTCTTTTCTGATCTTTCTCACTTTATCTAATTTTTAATGTCCATTGTGTCATCTACTGATAAAACAAATAGACTA